TTTATAATAGTATTTTTGTCATAGATTATGATTATATATTTTTTTGTTTATTTTTCTTTATAATGAAGCTGTCTATATTTAGTAGATTGTGTGTAACATACAAAAGATTGATGATCGACCTACACATTGAGGTATAGAAATTCTACACTGATTTTAAAAAACTGTGCTGGTATCGGATCGATATCGGTATCGGCAGATACTCAGATTTTTTGTATCGGATCGGTATCAGTTCTGAAAAAGTGGTATCGAGCCAGCCCTAGTTTAAATGAGACATCACTAAGGTAAAGAGGCTGTAGCAGGCTAGTACACTGTTCCCTGTGCTTTTCTGTTTCTTAGATTGGTATTTTGATCATCAATTATCACAGCTAAGTTAGCATGCTTTTATACTAGAATCCTTTCTGAAATTAATTCAGTATACAGTATACTGTATAGTAACACTTTTTCTGTATGTTTTTTTTTCTCAATACATTTGTGCTACAAGGATTACTGACAATATTTACAGTGTACAACTAGTTTATTGCTCAGGGACTATTGCCCACAATGCAATGTGTCCGACTCCAAACATTTGGCAATGTCTTGTAAAATCTTCGAGCCCCTTTGCTTTGTAGATGCTGATCTGTCACTACTCAGAGCACGGCTTCATCTGTAGTCTGATGGTGGGGAATCCCTGGTGTTTCACGGATTTGAACACTGTGTCTTTTTTCTTTATAATGAAGCTGTCTATATTTAGTAGATTGTGTGTAACATACAAAAGATTGATGATCGACCTACACATTGAGGTATAGAAATTCTACACTGATTTTAAAAAACTGTGCTGGTATCGGATCGATATCGGTATCGGCAGATACTCAGATTTTTTGTATCGGATCGGTATCAGTTCTGAAAAAGTGGTATCGAGCCAGCCCTAGTTTAAATGAGACATCACTAAGGTAAAGAGGCTGTAGCAGGCTAGTACACTGTTCCCTGTGCTTTTCTGTTTCTTAGATTGGTATTTTGATCATCAATTATCACAGCTAAGTTAGCATGCTTTTATACTAGAATCCTTTCTGAAATTAATTCAGTATACAGTATACTGTATAGTAACACTTTTTCTGTATGTTTTTTTTTTTCTCAATACATTTGTGCTACAAGGATTACTGACAATATTTACAGTGTACAACTAGTTTATTGCTCAGGGACTATTGCCCACAATGCAATGTGTCCGACTCCAAACATTTGGCAATGTCTTGTAAAATCTTCGAGCCCCTTTGCTTTGTAGATGCTGATCTGTCACTACTCAGAGCACGGCTTCATCTGTAGTCTGATGGTGGGGAATCCCTGGTGTTTCACGGATTTGAACACTGTGTCTCCTGCGTGGAGCTGCTGTCCTGAAAGTGCAAATTGTCACGAGTCTGCTGGGATAAAGATGTTAGAATGATGTTAGTAGTTGACAGACAGAGTCATTTGTGTCTAGAAATGTCAACTGATCTGGAATTCCAACATACTTTCAATGTGAATCCAGCAGGAGTCGTGTATGTGTGCACATGTGTAATGGAAATGCATTTGGCATCTCATCTAGTGAATTAGATTATGCTGATTATGCTGCATGCCTGAGGACAGTAGCCACGTTTTATCTTCATCGTAAATGTAGATTGATACATTAAAATGATTTGGGTGGACATTTCAGAGTATAAGAGCTAAAACAGGGACCTTCAAAAGAAAGCTGGAGAGGTGGTTTGGGATGTTTGTTTGAGATGGCAAGGCGAAATGTGACACGTGTTGCATATTTAATGGATTTTGTGTTAAAACCGCCCCAGGCCTCAGAGTAGCAGGTCAGGAGGTGAAGCATGATGCACCCCTCCTTCTCTTTCTCTCTTTCTTAAAATTCAGGTAACTTTATTGCCATGGCTAAGAAAAGGCATTGTACATAATTTAAAATAATAATTAAAAAATTGTATAAAATAGCTGAAATAATAATAATAATAAAATAATTGTATTGAATTGTACATTCTTATACCAGTGTTATGTATTATTTATATAGTTTTTAATTTTACGTTTTTAATTTTAGATTGTTTTAGTAATTTAGTTATGTGCTTTTGTCATTTTTATTAGTTTTTTTATTTATTTCTGTAATAAAAGTGTTTATTTAAATTTAAAAATTTTAAGAACTTAGTTTAAGTTTTTCCATCTAATATTAATATTAAAATTTTATTTTTTGGTAATTAAATTAAATTAAATTAATATTATAAATTATATAAATTATAATTTTATTTTATTTTATAGTTTTTAAAACTTTATATAGTTGGGCTGCACAATTGACTAATTGTGAACCGTGCAGACAGACAGTGAGCTCCCGCTGAACTGCAGGGCTCAAACAGTCGCGTGAAACATGGAGATAATTACTTTTATAGGCCGATACATTGGCACATGGCCTCTCTCTCTCTTTACTCAATCATCTGTATTCAGTACACTCATCCTGACAGCATGTAGTGTCTCTAACATTCTCCTTTCCTCTCATGTTACCTGCCTCTCTTCTCTTTTTTCACCAGACCTGGCCCGGATACAGACAGATCACCCATCATGACATGATGACTGTTCACTTCTCCTTCTCTCTCTCTCTCTTTCTCTTTTCTTGCGTGTGAATGTCAAGCTTCAGTTCAGCTCAGCCAGAAAGAAGACGCCTGGCTGAACGAGTGATGGCATGATGACATGTCTTTACATAACTGTTCACTTTATTATGCATTCACTCTCTCACTCTCTCTCTGCAGATCTGACTTTCCTCCATGAGAGCTGTAAGACTTTCCATGGGGAGCTGGTTAATTTTGAAAAGATGGTGAGTTGGCATATATAATGGAAGTAATGATGTGCTTACATTAATGCACACACATATTTATGTAGCTACCTAAATGAGGACATAGCATAGACTTCTGTAATGCTTAAAAAAGCTAATTATAATTTTTACAGACTAGCTCTAACCTTAATCCTTCCCCTAACAGGAACTTTTCATTAAAAAAACAACAACAACATAATTTGCCCTATTTAAGAATAGGGTTAAAAATCGAGAATGGGATTTAAAAAAAAAAAGTTTTGTAACCAAACGATTTCCATTTTTTATTATTAATTAATTATTCTACATTGCAGTCAGAACAGCATAATAAAATATGCATATGTATCAGAGCCCCCTATACTTTGTTAGTGTTGTGACAACAAGCATGCATCTTAATTTCTGTCAGCTGTGCATAAAAATGAATAATCAACTTTCAAGCATATGCTTAACTGTTTCTCACAATTTAAAATATCTGTAAATATTTATTTTATATCCACTACCGTTCAAATGTCTGGGGCTAGTAAGATTCTTTTATAAAGAAATCAATCAAAAGTGACAGTAAAGACATTTATAATGTTACAAAAGATTTCTATATCAAATAAATGCTGTTTTTTTTACTTTTATTTCAAGGTTTCCTCAAAAATATTAAGCAGCACAACTGTTTTCAACATTGATAAGAAATGTTAAGAAAGGATTAAGAAATGTTTCTTGAGCAGCAAAACAGCATATTAGGATGATTTCTGAAGGATCACGTGACACTGAAAACTGGAGTAATAATGCTGAAAATTCAGTTTTGCATCACAGGGATAAAATATATTAAAATAGAAAACAGCTATTTTTAAATTGTAAAAATATTTCACAATATTACAGTTTTTACTGTATTTTGCATCAAATAAATGCAGCTTTAGAATTTTTTTCCAAAACATCTGAAATGTTCTTAAAATTGACAACAAATTGATGAGGGTGTATGGAATGCAATAAGAATTGTTTTCATTGTGCATTCTTTTTCCCTCAAAATGACTAAAATAATCGTTAGAAGTATCAAATGAACTCTCTGAGGCTCTGATCAATACAGGATATCCTGTACAGCTAATTAGTGGCCACAGTTACAATATTTTTTTTTAAAAATGACTGTCAATCAAATCTCTGTCTCTTTTTTCTCTAGCACAAAGTGGCCGAGATGGTGCGAAGCATCAGGCGGTATAGGAGCACTCAGCTAGGTATGTGTATTCCTGCGCAGACAGACAGACAGACAGACAGACAGA